CACAGGCACATTATAGTAATTATTAAGTATGCAAATATTGTGCAGCGCTATTAATAATTCGAAATAGACCAAATTATAATAAATGTCATAAATGTTAAATAAACCGTACAAGCGTGACAGTCTATGTAGTGTGAATATCACAAAATCTTCAATCCAGTGGTGGTGCTCCCAGTGGTAAAGTAAGAATTGCGCACTCACCAGAAGTGTAATAAAATTACGCGGTGTATATGTCAACAAAGGTCCCCTTCACAGGTATGGGTCCAGGCTGGAACATAAGATGATTCTCCCTCCAGGAATAAGGATATGAGCCCTCAAAGGATGTGAATGGATCCAGCTAACCAGAGGTCCCTTTAAGGGATAGATGGGTATGGATGCCTGTTTACAGGTGCTTCCCTCTCTGGATGGATGGACTGGAAACTGGATCGCAGCAGGGCTCTATAAATGATAAGCTACTCACAGCAGACCAAGAAAAGTGCCATAGTGTAGTAATTCCTGTATATAATTTATTAAAATCACAGTAGCATAGGTAAATAAATAAATAAAACACGGCAGCGTCAGGTGTAATGAAAGACTGACCCTCCAGGAATTAAGATGGCCGCCAGGCCTCCACGTGGCACCTAGGCTCCTGCTGACGCATTTCGTGTGCACGCACTTCTTCAGAGGCTAGAATCTAAGTGACGCCATGATCGTGAAGCCGGCAATTTATACAGTAAATAGCGCATGCGCACTGAGTCAGCGCCATATTGCCGTAGTGCGACATGTGTTAGTACTCTGTGCGCTTGCACAACGCCATTTTACCATGGATAGGAAATATACAACAGACGTGTTTAACTGAGTACTTGTTAATATAAAACAAAGATCAAAGGTGCGTTAATACATAGTGATGGGTAAAAATAACTATTGGGAGATTAATCACATCACACATCCAAATCACTAGGAACCAATAAATATTGATCCCAATTTCGAAAAATCTATAAATATGTTGCCAAAAATAAATGCATTAAAATATATACGCTAAGGTAGGATGATGCAATAGAACAGGGGTGGGCAAACTTTTTGACTTGAGGGCCGCAATGGGTTCATATATTGGACCCGGGGGCCGGACCAAGAGTAGATGAATGATGTGTATGTGTCATCCATAGTAAGTATAATAATATTCCCCCATAGTAAGCATAGTAATTAATCCCCCATATAGTAATTAATCCCCCATAGTAATTCATCCCCCATATAGTAATTCATCCCCCATATAGTAATTCATCCCCCATAGTAATTCATCCCCCATAGTAATTCATCCCCCATATATATAAGTAGGTAATAGAGCGCTGGGAGTACATAGGTGAAGCAGCTAGCATAAAAGGTAACCTTGGGACCCAGATAGAAACATGAAAAATAAATATGCAGCGCTTTTGAAATTAAATATGAACAAGCATAAAAAACAGAACATGAACAGCATAACTGCATGACAAATTCAGTCCATATTGCATGGTGCGATAAAGTGATAGGTGCAATTGTCCCAATAATTCATGTTCAGAGAAATTCGTGACTCTTGTGATCTCGTGATTTGTACAAATAATGCACTAACCAGATAGCGCAACCAATGCGCATGGAGCAATTAAGACCCGCTCCTGGTGCTCTGGACTTGTAGTATTAGGAGGATGTCATCTGCAGGTTTGGCCACCAGATGTCATCAATCCAGGTATATGGGTAAGTCGTCCACCAGAGAGATCATCAGCGGGGGAGGGGGTGATCATGCATCATTCCCAAATGGACGTAACCTTCAAAAGCGGGCTCCCATAACATAGATGAGACCCAGAGAAGGTGCCCTTGACCTGTGTATGCATACCACTAAGCCATCCTATTGACACCCTGGTGGCCTGACCTTGCTTTGATGTAAGTTTTTTTCCTCCAATTGTATCTGGTGTAAGTTTTTACTTAATAAACATACTACACTATCAGAGGCTTCTCTGGGTCTCATCTATGTTATGGGAGCCCGCTTTTGAAGGTTACGTCCATTTGGGAATGATGCATGATCACCCCCTCCCCCGCTGATGATCTCTCTGGTGGATGACTTACCCATATACCTGGATTGATGACATCTGGTGGCCAAACCTGCAGATGACATCCTCCTAATACTACAAGTCCAGAGCACCAGGAGCGGGTCTTAATTGCTCCATGCGCATTGGTTGCGCTATCTGGTTAGTGCATTATTTGTACAAATCACGAGATCACAAGAGTCACGAATTTCTCTGAACATGAATTATTGGGACAATTGCACCTATCACTTTATCGCACCATGCAATATGGACTGAATTTGTCATGCAGTTATGCTGTTCATGTTCTGTTTTTTATGCTTGTTCATATTTAATTTCAAAAGCGCTGCATATTTATTTTTCATCCCCCATATAGTAATTCATCCCCCATATAGTAATTCATCCCCCATAGTAATTCATCCCCCATATAGTAATTCATCCCCCATATAGTAATTCATCCCCCATATAGTAATTCATCCCCCATATAGTAATTCATCCCCCATAGTAATTCATCCCCCATATAGTAATTCATCCCCCATATAGTAATTCATCCCCCATATAGTAATTCATCCCCCATATAGTAATTCATCCCCCATATAGTAATTCATCCCCCATAGTAATTCATCCCCCATATAGTAATTCATCCCCCATAGTAATTCATCCCCCATATAGTAATTCATCCCCCATAGTAATTCTTCCCCCATATAGTAATTCATCCCCCATAGTAATTCATCCCCCATACATAGTAATTAATCCCCCATATAGTAATTCATCCCCCATATAGTAATTCATCCCCCCTATAGTAATTCATCCCCCCTATAGTAATTCATCCCCCATATAGTAATTCATCCCCCATATAGTAATTCATCCCCCATAGTAATTCATCCCCCATATAGTAATTCATCCCCCATATTAAGTCCCCAAGTCCCCCCTGTGTCAATTCACTTACCTTTGCACCGCGCGTTCCTCTCGCCGTGTTCCCGCGCCGTTCCGGTGTAGCATGAAAATCTGTCTCCTATGAGGATCTGTCCCCCTCGACGTATCTGCGCATGTGCCAGTTTCAGGCATTAGCAGCCGATCGGCGATCTCCGGCACATGCGCAGATACGTCGAGGGGGACAGATCCTCATAGGAGACAGATTTTCATGCTACACCGGTCTTCAGGGTGGATTGTGAGAGGAGCCTAGCGGGAGCCTAGCTCCGCGGGCCGGATTAAAAGGTCCGCCGGGCCGTATACGGCCGCGGGCCGTAGTTTGCCCATTGCCGCAATAGAACATAAATCAAATGGGTAATTAAAACCAAATGATGAATAAAAAGTTAAAACTTATTTGATAATGATAAATGATGTTTAAACAATTTATGTGTGGGTATTAAAGCACCTATCATGAATAAAAAAGGGGCTATAATTATGAAGCCTAAAAAATGTTCACAAAAATTAAAATGAACATATAGGTCTAAAAATCAATATATAATTCCATGGTAAAAAGGGGAGTATATACCATATGAATAAATAATAGGAACATAACATACGAAAAAAATAATAACTAAATACTTATAAAATTCCATAAATGATAAATGTAAACGAAGGTAAGACGAATGTAATGGATAAAAGGCCTACATGATACAAATATATAAATTCCATAAAATAGCATAAATTCCATAATATTACAAAACGCATTATACATATAGAATCAAAAAGCATAAATAAATGTAAGAGATAATATAAAAAGGCATGATATAAATAAAAAGTTCAGCTATTATCGATGAAACAATTTACTTCGATTTCTATGTTCAACCCTGCTGTGTGTAAAGTGTCTAACTCATAAATAAGCTTATCATAAGAGCGCTCACTTTTATTACTATTTGTTATAATTATTAAGGAGGGTTTCATTTTATTTGTTTACTTATTTTTTTAGTTTAGTGACACTTTAAAATGCAAATTGCAGATCACAGTCATTAGTCTGAGTGTACTCAGCCATAGGTTGTGCTGCAGTAAAATGTGTGTCTGAAGGGCTCCAGAAATACGCAGTATTTCAAATTTGGCATTCGTGTACAAGAAGACTCATATGTAACCTAAAGAAGGCATACAATATATTATAAAAACTGTAATGGTAGCAACATCAAAATTCAAATACTATACAGCCACAAGCTAAATAAATGTCACAATATAGCAAAATAGTAAACACTTCTATTTCCTACTAATAAGCACTTAACCTAGGTATACAAAACAGTTACTCAAAAACTGAAAAGCCTGGGGGCAGTGGAAGCTAGTTTTACATTCTCAGAATTGTTCATTACACATCTAGAAGGCTCATATCACCTCTGTTCAATAATTCACATTGTGAAAGCCGAGTCCACTGCCAAGCACAGTGTGAAACTCAATTACTTCAAACGTGGAGAACGGAATAAGGCTTGGTTAGGTGAAAGCTAGGAGAAATCGAATGAATGTTCACTGATCTCCTTACTGGTGTACTTACCCAGCGACACTGACCATGGGAGGCCTGCAGGTGGGTCAGCAGAGCCCGGAAAACATGTTGGTGGGGGGGACACTACCCAGTGTTTGTGGAGGCAATCAGGTGGCTGTACAGCCTTCAATGTAACAACCTCTGCTGCAGGTGTAGGACATATGTAGTGAGAGTGTTAAATAACATCCTTGGAAAATGCCCTTAACCTGCCTGTGAAGTGGCACATCTGTATGATGTATAGAACAGCAAAACTGACATTTACAAAGAAAAAAAATGCCATTTACAATTGCTGATAAATGACAGCTCCTGCCTGCTTTGTTCTATTTGTAAACTCAATGGCAGGGGATTTCTTTTATCTGTACAGAACCCTTATCCTTGATGAGGATGATAGATGTCAAAAGGGTTCCCCAGAAAAAAAAAAAGTCTGCAATGTTAGCATCCATATGTTTATCCCCAACAGTTTCCCTTATCGAGCACATAGAACTATCCATCATCCCCAGACTCACCTGTAAGCAGATCAACCAGCTGTAGTTCATTCCTCACTAAGCCAACATTGTTAGGGGTTGAGGTGGCAAAAGACAAGAAGTTTGTAAGGCTGGTCCATTCAATGCCCCTGAATGACAGTAAGGGTTATCAGTGCATGTTTAAGAACCAGCACTTTATAACTTTATAGTTCTAAGATAAAAACTACTCAAAATACTTTGTTATTGACACTGTAGCCACAATATCACCAGAAAGTCAGGTTGAAGTAGATCAAAGGTTTGCACTCCATTATAGTATGGACAGGTGGACTAACCTTTCAATTTCTAGCCTAAAGAAAACTAAATTTGCTGCCACATCTAAAAAAGGAATGTATCGTCTTTCAGCTTTCCATGGATATGAATTGAAATCACAATCTAAGGTTTTTTTGGCTTGCGTGTAAAACCCTTTTCTTTAATCATAGACCCTGAGTTATATGCAACCACCTTCAAGTGATTGGACATTGGCAGAGCTGTGGTACAGCCCATATATAACTGATCCCACTCATAGCGGTCCTCAGCTTTGCAGCAAGCCATAAGGGCTGGTTCACACCAGATGCAGTGGGGCTGCCTTGGGTGGCTATTCCAGCTAAATTCCACCACATGGACAAGTCAAAATACCTTGACTTCTATGTGCCCAGTTCACACCACTGTGTTGCAAGTTTAAAGCAGTGTTAGGTTATAATAAAAAATATCCCAAGGTATGAACATCTCACGGAGCACTGTTCAATCCATCATTTGAAAATGGAAAGAGTATGGCACAACTGCAAACCTACCAAGGCATGGCTGTCCACCTAAACTGACAGGCCGGGCAAGAAGCATTAATCAAGAGAAGCAGCCAAGAGGCCCACTCTGGTAACTCTGGAAGAGCTGCAGAGATCCACAGCTTAGGTGGGGAGAATCTGTCCACAGGACAACTATTAGTCGTACACTCCACAATTCTGACCTTTATGGAAGAGTGGCAAGAAGAAAGCCATTGCTAAAAGAAAGCCATAAGAAGTCCCGTTTTCAGTTTGCAAGAGGCCATGTGGGGGACACAGAAAACATGTGGAAGAAGGTGCTCTGGTCAGATGAGACCAAAAATGAACATTTTGGTTGAAAAACAAAACACTATGTGTGGTGGAAAACTAACACTGCACATCACCCTGAACACACCATGAAACACAGGGGACAGGGGAGCTGGTTAGAGTTGATGTGAATGTGGATGGAGTCAAATACAGGGAAATCCTAGAAGAAAACCTGTTAGGCTTAATGTACACAAAAATACCCTTACCACCAGCTGTAGGAAAACGCAAACCGCGGAAAAAAAAAAAAGGGTACCGCGGTTTGGCGATTTTCCGCGGTCGGAAGTCAAAACGTGTTTAACCTCACCTAAAACGTGGCAGTTCCTAAATTATGCTAAAAGCCTATGTGTACATGGATACATAGGCTTTTATGGAGTTGAGTTTAGGAGCTTTGGCATAAAAATTTCAAAGGCTTCTAAACTCGAATTTAGGAGCTGCTCATGTACATGAATCCTTAGAGTCTGCAAAAGACTTGAGAATGGGGCAGAGATTCACCTTCCAGCAGGACATCGACCCTAAACATACAGCCAGAGCTACAACGGAATGGTTTAGATCAAAGCATATGCATGTGTTAGAATGGCCCAGTCAAAGTCCAATTGAGAATCTGTGGAAAGACTTGAAAATTGCTGTTCACATTCTCCATCCAATCTGATGGAGCTTGAGCTATTTTGCACAAAGAATGAGCAAAAATTTCACTCTCTAGATGTGCAAAGCTGATCGAGACATCCCCAAAAAGACTTGCAGCTGTAATTGCAGCGAGAGGTGGTTCTACAAAGTATTGACACAGGGGGCTGAATACAAATACACACCATACTTTTAAGATATATATGTGGAAAAAAATTTGAAAACCGTTTATTATTTTCCTCCCACTTCACAATTATGTGCCTCTTTGTGTTGGTCTATCACATAAAATTCCAATAAAATACATTTACGTTTTTGATTGCAACATGACAAATTGTGGAAAATTTTAAAGGGGTATGAATACTTTTTCAAGGCACTGTAGGAGTAATGGGAGTCAGAAAGACCATGGTTCATTAGGACCTAGTCTACAACAGCCAATCAGGATAATGTACTGGCTCTTGAGACAGCAAGTCGGGAAGTGCCCATGGAGAGTCTCCCAGGAGCTACAGAATGTCCAAGTACCAAGTTTTCCCGAGCCAGATTGGTTCCATCAGGATCACCAGAACACGCTCAACCTTGATAGAGGCATAGAACAGGCAAAAGTAATCCCACAGGATCAACAGTGTGTCCACTGCAGCTGCCAGAGGATCCCTGGTCCTGATCACAGAGATGCCCACCATGTTGGTGAAGTTGGATGCTGTAAATTCCACATTCAGCATCCTACAATGGTGACAGATGTTCCCAAAACACTTTAGGGTTTACAGACCATTTCCTGCATGCAAGTGTTGACAGAGTCTACCTGCGATCGGTCAACTCCAGGAATGTGAAATGCACACAGCACCCCAATCCATCCCCCTTTACTCTTTCACCCCTCTAGTCTAACGCCCTTTACTTTTACACTCCACTAGTTTAGCTCTTCTTTACCCTTACACCCCCTAATCTACCCGACCCCTTACTTCTACATCCCCTACTCTATCCCCCCTTTTTCCTTACACGCACAACAGTCTATCCCCCTTTACCCTTACACTCCCCCCAATCAAACTCCCCCCTTTACCCCTACATCCCCCCCAATCAATCTTCTCCCTTTACCCCTACTCCCCTCCCCAATCAATCTCCCCCCTTTACCCCTACATTCCCCCCCAATCAATCTCCCCCCTTTACCCCTACATCCCCCCCCCCCAATCAATCTCCCCCTTTACCCCCTACATCCCGCCCAATCAATCTCCCCCTTTTACCCCTACATCCCCCCAATCTACCTCCCCTTTTTTCTTACATCCCCCCCACCCCCAATCTATCCCCCCTTTACTCTTACCCAACCCCCCAGTCTATCCCCCTTTACCCTTACACCTCCCCCAATCTATCCCGCCTTTACCCTTACTCCCTCCTCTATCTATCCCCCTTTACACTTACTTCCACCCCCAGTCTATAACCCCTCTCAGCTGTCATTCTTTCTTGGTGTATTCCCGGGGGCTTTGTCAACCGACTTCCAAAGTTTATAAAAACTTTCTCCAAACTCTGTACACTCCCCAATGACTAATCCCCCCCCCCACCCCCGTCATGTGACCCAGTTGGCCGGTCATGTAAGCCCAGCAGGTTGCTAGGAGACAGCATCCTGTGCAGCTACTGCAGAACCTTATTGCCCCCCTGCCCCCCAGCACAGTCCAGCCCTGCCCCCTACATATGTATTAAAAGAACCTGGACATAGAACAGCAGGTCAATCCTCTAAATGCAGGGTAGCATGTATTGCATATATCAGGTTAAAAACCCTTTGTAAATCTGGGTCGTCTGCAGGTGGCTTAACAGCCCCCAGGAGTAGACGGTGGGGTTTCAGAGATGGTAAGAGGACTCAAGCACACTTTGAAATGGAGTCCAGAAGGTTCAGAGCTATACTCTGCTGGGGGTGGTGCCGAAGCACACTTAGAGCCTTGGAAAGCAGATTGCCCCAGTAATTGGTTACAAACCACCAAAATGTCCAAAGTGAACATTAAGATCCTGTCGGAGCCAAAAAGACTTTGTTGATGACGGACATATAGTAATTAGGGGTCTCCAGATCAAAATTACAGGTGTCATTTCCTTCTGGGGATACTGAGTAACTGCCCCTAGAACCAGTAGAAAAGTATGGTCTGAGGTCACCAGTTACAGCAGAACTGTCCTCAGTGAATCTTTGACAAGAAACTTTGTAACACGTAGCAGAAAACAAATAGGCCCAAAGACAAGCAAGGCCTTGCATACACTCAAGCTCAAGTAGCTGATGTTGATGAGAGTCACATGCAGCCAGAAGTTATGAAGTCATTGTAGGCAGGTAGAGAATAGAAAACAGATGATCCCTGTGGTGCTGCAGAATTAGCAGAGGGATGGTGCTTCGTCTAGGCTAAATGGTGGGTAAAAAAAAAGCACAAAGCATATGTAAAACTTGCAGCCTGATTGCGCAGTGCAGCTATCCAGCTCCACAATTCAGGGTCCTGTACCTAAAAGGTCAATTTCCAGGCTAGCACCATAATCTTCCAATCTAGTGGGGTCTGGATAAGGCTTCCAAACCTGTTGCTGAAAATACACCAATCTGAATAGCTGCTGTACATGACACTAACATAAGCAGCTATTTGAAAGTCTTAATAAAAGTCACTAAAAGTCTATAGTGCATTTAATATCTTAATTGAAGAAGAAAAGAGTAAAGAAAAAATAAGAATATTAGGGCTAGCAAAATTTAAGTTAGACTTTTATCAGCTGGGAGCCAAGTCAATTTAAAAAGGGAGAAGGATGTGTTTTTAACAACATGGGAAATACAAACAATACAGCTCGTTGGGAATGCAGATCTTGGTAACATTCATGCTTTCCACATAAGTTCATCCGAAAAAGTGCACTAAACAGACACTGTGCTAACAAATGTTCCATATGGGTTGTGTACACATACAAAATAGCATTTCAAATATACTCAGAATACCTGGAATTTCTTCTGGAACAAATGACTTTTATCAATATCTCTATTTAATTTCTACAATGTATGTATCCCCTACCAATACAAGAGTCACTATGACTTTCAATGATGCTAGAAGACTTTGTTACTCACCTGACTTCACATGAATGTATATTTAACTCTTTGTGCAGCAGCCCACTAGTCAGATTATACACAAAAACTGAGCCATTGCTGGTGCCTGTAAATAAAGGATATTCTGTATGAATAGAGAGAACCAAGGGAGATAAGCAAATCTCAGAATTAGATTGTCAGCTGCTCTTCTTGGCTTTGACACTGCACCACAAAATACCATTTACAAAACCCATCATTACCTGCAGCAGATTATTTGTTTCCCCAATTAAAATGTGCTATGAATTCTGTTCTGTAATCTACCACCTACTGGACTTTGTCTCATTAATTTATTCTAAAACCTTAACTCTCACGTCTGGTCTACTGATAAAATAAACACCCAATTAGAATAAAACATACACCTGCCGAAAACAGAGCTTTAGTGTACTAAATGACTTCGCTAATTGCTATCCTATGCCCACATATATTAGTCTCTTAGGGAGAAACAGAGCAGCCAAATCAAAAATGATTTAAATCTTGGCATTTAAAGCGATCCCTATAGACTACAAGCCAAACATTACAGAATATGGCGGTATTGTATGTGTTAAAGGACTTGTGACATAGGAAGGAAGTTCAAATAATGTTCGGCTATGAAAATGGAAACATCTTAGGAGCTTATCTCAACTGGATATGCTTGTGATTAACGCTGCATTGTAGAAGATACTTTCAGAATTCCTTCTCTGTAATCATGCGAGGAACCCCCCACCTGCTGCTGATAACCCTAACTTAGACAAAAATGGCAGATAAGCAGCACAGAACAGTTAATACAACAGATCTTCATGTGTCTGAAGGAAAACAACCAGGTTGTCCTTTTCATGGTTCCTCTGCAGTGCTGAAAAATGAGGAGATTCGGATTTACTGTTCTTTCCCAAAACATTTTTTAAAAAGCCAGTGTGAAATACTGTGTCTCATTTCTCTATAGAGAAGTACTTTTCTGCTGCAGCTACAGTATGAGGCAAGCTGCTGTCAGAATTGGAAACACATCCAACTTACATTATGCACTCATTCAAATATAGATGACTAGCTACTGATGTCCTATATAGGACCCATTTATAAGAATGCGGGAGTTTTGGTCCCTCACGCTGTATCATTTTAACATGCAACTTGAGTCTTGATGTATTTCATTTTTATGGTTTGATATATTTTAGCATGCAAATGTTTCTCTGGTAAACTCATGCACCAAAAAACACACGAGGACTCATGTTCAAAACCAAAAAGGTGTGAATGGGGCCTTTGTACCCCTTTACCTAAAAAAAAACCCCCAAAAAAACCCTTTCTGTTCTATTGGATTGCTTACAGGTGTTACCAAGGTCAAATTACACACATGCACACCATGCCCACATCTGCTAGTTTTCCCTAAGACAAACAGTCCACCTACACACTCTCCACCTTCAAAATGACTTACTGTCATTGGCTGATGAACTACTAGAGACTTATCTAAATGTAATGACTTCCATTCTTTCCTTCTTTGCAGTCCTCTCCTTGAGCATATTACTAACAAAAACGGCAAGTGGAGTTTTATGAAGCTTCAGTTTCCATTATCTTACCTCCCTCTGCTGACCAATCAGAAAGCAGTGGTTTCTTTCCGTTTTGGAGTGCCTCACACTGAGCCCCTCCAATAACATGTGGTGTGCATGCTTTACGTAAACCCACTCTGTGAGCTCAATATTCCTTTCTTGTACATCATGGGACACAGAGAATGTTCATGTCCATGATGATAGGGTTATGCTGCCACCTTTAAGTGACTGTACACTGACCAAGAGAAAAAAAAAAAAAGACATGCAATCCCCTTCTAGGTATTACCACTACCCTTTAGGCAAGGCTTCTGTTTTTTTGCTAGTGTCTGAGGACTGGTTCACATCTATGCAGTTTGCTATTTATCTGCAGGTTTTGCATTTTTTGCACATGCATTTTTTGATGCGTTTGGAATTTTGCATGGGTTTTTTTTTGCCAATTTGTCGATGAACAGATTAAAAAAATGCAAAACGTGTCAAAAATGCACTAAAACTTGTCAAAAACGCACTACATGCTTTTCTGCAGCATCTCCATAGACGTCACACCTATTTCTACATCACCAAAGATTTCTGCAATTTGTGGTGGAGGACTGCCACTTCCAGGATGTGGCCCTGCCAATTGGCCTGTCCACAGCTCCCAGAGGCTCTGATTGCTGCCAGTTCATCTCTCTCCATGCCATTGTGATTATTACACATGCTAAAATGGATTTTCAGCTTGTTTGAAGGAAATTGTGTATCAAAAGGCTTGATTTATTCTTTTAAAGTGTGAGTGCAATATGGAAAACATGTTTTTTATATTAAAGGCTTTTTATACAGTATTATGCTATTACGGTCTCCCCCTTCTTTTTTCTTTGCATCCACCATCCATCCATGAGTGAGAGTTTGCGAATTACCAAGGAAGGATTGCTAGGGGTCGTTTGGGAAAACGTATGTCCATCTGAGCTTGCAATTGATTTCTTAAATGTGAGTGTAATGGTGAACATTAGCTATATTTTTTTGTTTATGCAGTATTACACGATTTTTTTTTTTTTTTTCATCCACTCATGAGGCATTGGTTAAGAAAATACTGAAGCAATCAGGAGATTCGTTCAACGCTATACAATTGAGAAGATCTCATCTCAACTCCAAAATGTGTGTCTGATTCCTGAAGTCATTTCCCACTTGGTAATCACCTGATTGGGGGAGTGTGGGTGAAAACTTGCACCATTTAGATGATCTGAACACGCTGGGAACTATATTGTTTTATATTATTTTATTAAGTTTTTTTTGAAACACAAGACTCTTTATTTGGACTTATTTGGTCTTTTGTTCTTTGTTTTTTTTAATTGGTTTGCGCTGTTTTTTTCTTTGTTTGTCCCAGAGGTTCTGGCTCTGGTTCTAGGGCTCCTGCATTACCATGGGTATCCCTGTTATAGCATATATGGACAAATTACTTCTGAGCCAGCAATCTACTTCTATGCTGGAGACCAATGCATCTCACACGGTGCACAAAATCTGGAAAGGTTCAGATGGGTTTTGAATTTACAGAGGTTGGCCTTATCCCCAACCCAGAGGATGAAATATTTAGGCCTGACCCCTGATACTGTCAAGGCAAGAATGATCCTCCTTCTGGACAAAGGGCTCAGATAGACTTGCTGAAGACTCTGACAAATCCCTCAATTTGCATGAAGATTCTGACAAAGATGGTAACCTCCTCCAAGGCAGTGCCCTTTGCCCAGTTTAATTCCAGGTCCCTCCAATTGAATATTTTAGCTGCATGGAATAGAAGGATGCAGACGTTAGATTCTCTGATGTTGTTAAACCCAGCATGAGACCATCTCTGGACAGGTGGATCTCCTCAGGGATGCTGAAGATGGCAAAATCATTCCTCCCTTTATCCTGGAGGGTCCTGATGACTGACATCAGCCTGAAGGGCTGGGGTGGCGGTTTGTACAATTTCTAGGTCCAGGGAACTGGATCAAAGCAGTAGAGGTAGTTGCCCACCAAGGCAATATGCCTTGCCCTACTGCATTGGTCAATGCAGCTGAAAGGCTTGACTGTAAAGATCCAGTCAGACAACAGCAAAACAGTGGCATACATGAGAAGGTGCCAGGAAGTTGGGCTGCTCAGAAGGAAGCGGATCTCATCCTGTCTTGGGCAGAACTCCATGTTCCTACCCTGCATGCCATCCACACTGCAGGCATGGAAAGCTGGCAGCTGGACTTTCTCAGCCATCAACAACTGTCTTTGGAGGAGTGTTATCTTTACTCAGAGGTGTTATGGCATCAAAAGGTTCAATGCGAAGCTGGACAGGTTTGTTTCCAGAACCAGGGACCTTCAAACTTTTGAGATGAATGCTCTGATGACAGTATGGGACCAGTTCTCCTTATTCTATGCCTTCCCGCTATTACAGATTTTACCTCGTCCGCTTTGCAAGATTTGAGTGGAAGATATTCTGGCGATTCTGACTGCCCTGGCCTGGCCCAGGATAACTTAGCACTTCAACATTGTGAACATATTGGCAAATGACCTTTGGATATTTCTGGATCAACCAGACTGTCGCAGTGACCATCTTCCATCCTTCTTTACAGCCACTGGATTTAAATGGCATAGGTGTTGAAGTCAGGGTCTTGAGAGAGGGGGGAGTCACTGACTCGGTCATTCCTAATCTACTGAAGGCTCAGTAAGTGAATTCAAAGAAGATTTACCACAAAACTTACTAGATGCAAGGCCCGGGGTGGGTCTCATCCTGGCTTTTCTCCAGTCTGCATTTCATCTGGGACTGGCCCTCAGTATACACAAGTGAACAAGGGTCAGATTTTGGCAGTCCTTTTTGCAGAAGCCTATTGCTTCACATGCCTTTTTGCAAGGCAACACATGTATTGTTCCACCAGTCAGGACTATTTTGACTCCATAGGACCTCAACTTGGTACTTTCTGGATATCATAAATCTCCTTTTGAACCCACAGGGATACTACTTTAGTCCTACTGTCTTGGAAGATTATTTTTCTTGTCGCCATTACTTTGGCTTTCAGAGTTTCATAATTGGCTGCTCTTTCCCATAGGAGGCTGTTCCTTGTGACAAGGCAGTTTTGCTACCTCAGCTGTCATTTTTAACTGTAGTTGTTTCTTCCCTCCATCTCAACCAGCGTATTGCATTGCTGTGTTTCTGTCCTAAGCCACAGGCATTGGGGGCAAGGTTCTTCATACTTTGAATGTGGTCCGTGCTATCGGGAGTTACCTGACATCAACTGCAACTATTCGTTAGTTTGATTGCCTCTTTGTGCTTCCTGAAGGCCCAAGGAAGGATCACACAGCTTTCAAGTCTACCATTTTTCGATCTAACAGGATTACGATCTAAAAGGGTTAAGTGACACCATTTGTGGTGACAGCTCATTTTACCAAGAGTAAAACTGGCAAATAATACAATGCAAATGCAGTGGCAGGTGTTCAGTCAAATCCTGGCAGTAGCAAGGAAATGCTCCCACCATTAACTTCCCTCTTCTCTGCAGTAGCTTCCAAAAAAGGAGGATCTCCTTAATGGTCACATGGCCTACACAAAATGTCTCCTAATATGGTACAATAGATGTCCTAAGTTTACAAAATGTAAGATTTGTTAATGGAATAGCTGCTAGGATTTCATCTGGGTAATGAGTGCACTTACCTACTGCAAGAAGGGGCTTATACTGTGTAATATTCTTGGTAGTGAGTGGAGGACACATTCTCACCACAAATGGGGGCTGAGGAAGTCCAGACAGAAGGCCTGTCAGCAAGAACTTGAGGTGGACTTCATGGAGTGGACCCCCAGATAGAGCAGAATCACAGGACAGCATGCTCTGACCAGCTGCAAAATAAGCAAACAGTATAGCAAGGGAATTAATATTTAACTGGTGTGAGTAACAGCCAGAGTGTGCTAAACTGACATATTAAATACAACCCTGTCCTATGTACACTCAGTTTCATTGTAGAGTGAACAGAACCCAACCAGAGCAGCACGAAGGGCTTAGCAACACAACATCATGTTTTAACAACATCTATAATAACCTTGAGGCTACCCTACATAATTAAATCGTGGTACACTCCAGTGTCTAGGTAAAGCGGTTGTAAAGGTAAAAGGTTTTTACCCTAATGCATTATCTGCATTAAGGTAAAAAACATTTTAATAGTAGCACACCCCCCAGATACTTATCTGAGCCTGTTCTCAATCCAGCGCTGTGCATGTCTGCAGCAGTTCTTCTCCCCACCCCCATCTCCCAGGCTTGGCTGAGAGCAGCAGCATTCATTGGCTTCTGCTGCTGTCAGTCAAAACGTGCGAGCTAAGAGCGGGGGCAAGGTTTACAAACACTTTAAAGCATAACCCAAAATCAGTTTCAGTGGTTCTACTTCTAAGTCCACTAAACCCTGATCTAAGTCCTTTCAATTGCTCCCAATTTGCAATGCAAGCTTCATGAAGCATCTGAAGAAGATTATAATGATGAGTTAATGGAGAATAAAACTAAAAGATCACTGATTGCACGTTATAAAAAGTTAGTCAAGCTGAATCAATGATTTCAACCATTTCTGAGTCTCTAACTCCGAACAAGTAAACCGATCAGGAATTTGGATTGTGTGTTGACTTTCCTGATCTGCAAGCTTGTTCTGAGTTAATGACTCCATAATAAAGCAACTGGATCAGCTTAACAGCCAGAAAACTACCATTTCCAGGAAGGCAGCTTTAAATCTAGGACTACTGAGAACCGTAAAAAAAATAGTATAGGTAAAAGCAAACATTCTAGAATAGAAAAAAAAGCAAAGTCGCACTGTTAACCATGCAGTAAATGGTATATATCCAATGACTACTTAAATCTGGTATATTTGCTTACCAATCATACTACCCAAAGAGAGGTCAGGACACTTTTTCTGTAGCGGTCCCACTGGACTTCCACAGAATGATGAAGGAGCATATAAAGCACAGGTAGTGGAGCTGTAGAATAAGTAACACATTTGGTATTGTTACATTTATATCATTATCAAAGATTATCCAGATCAAATAGAACACTCTCAAAGTGGCTGAAAACCTCAGACATAAAATACGAACAAAGCATATCCTCTCTATAGTGTGTACCTGCCTCAAGCAAGAGCACAAAGTGTAATTTCTCTCTGCTCCTTCGCTCATTTGTTATCAGTTTGAATTACTACTGATGGGTTTTCCTGACACCAAGGGAAAAAAAAGACGACAGTGGAGAAACCTCCAGCAAACATTCTGTGATTGACAGCCTCAGGTCTATTACAGTGTGCTGCGTGATGGGGGAGGGGGGGGGGGGCTCTTCCCTGCAATCAGCTCTTAGAACCCTCTCACTGAGCTCTGCAAAGTGTAGTTTCAGATTCCTGCCCCAATTTTTCTGAAATCTCGGACAAGGTGTGTAAATTCTGCACTTTGAACAGATGTAGAAAAGAGAAGACTGCACATAGACAAGCACAGCCTATGTACCAGGATTTGTTTAATCTCTGTGTATCACCTAAGGTCAGTCACTTCACTGGGAATATGTAAGGGTTTTCAACCACTTTGAAAAGATTTCAATTTTTAAAAAGTATGATACATCACGTTTTATTGCTACACAAAAGACATTTCTAATATAATAGACTTTATTATTAAAGCCTACCTATAGCCAAAACCACACTTAGAATCAGCTCCAGACTTTTTACTTGCTTAACTGATTAAGAAATAACAAAGGAGTAGCCCACACCTGGCCATGAAACAGCTTTTGATTCAATTGTCCAATTACTTTTTGTCCCTTGAAAAAGGGAGGATGGCTACTCTTAAGAGCTGTAATTCCTAAACACTTCGTCCAATTTGGATGTACATACCCTCATTTAAACCTGAGTGTGCACTTTCAGCCCATATTCATCATATAACTTTATTATATAACTTTATTATATATGGGTGATAGGTCTTATACGCTTGTTCCTTTAAGGGCATTCTATGACCGCAGTCGGATCTTTCAAAGGTCTCCTCCAGAACCGTTCTCAACATATCTAACCAATTCACCAATTCCACCGATGGATACTCCAAGATAAAGTATACAGACCATCATAGATCTTTCCATATAAAATGCCATGTTTATTAAAACTCATAAATCGACTTACCCACATTTAAAAGTGCACTGTTAACTGGTGCACAACAGATAAGCAGCGTATGTAATGATTCAATCCACCAAGTGGGACATCACCATTAGAGGCTGCAGCTTGTGGGAAGATGGCCGACTATTACACACCAAACTGAGCATGTAAAGAGGGACTCCACACATATGTCTTATCAGGAGATAAGAGGGGGACACTGAAAGAAGGGGAGTATCAGAGATGTCAGGATCAAACAGCCTTTTTACACAATGCAGAGAATTAACCACTTAGGTTGCACAGTGAGTATAACAAGCATGCTTTACTGCATATACAGACTGATTTAACTGTTGTGGGTTTAGTAGCACTTTAAGACTGCAAGCTTCCACATAACATATACCAGGTACCTCCGGAGACTTGCTTTCACCAAACAGAGACAGATGTTTTATGTTGCTGGCCCCACTCCTTACGCATTATGCCACGGACATGGAGAAGCCACGACAGTGGTGTAACAAGTGTTTGTCCCTTCAAATAATTTCAAAAAAGAGCTATGTACTAACAAACAATCTGACTAATGTACGATCGCTTCGAAAGCAGTATTTTTCAGCCGATTTTCTGATCGTGTGTACTAGGCTTAACTCTTTTGTGTGTCCCTGGCAACAGAGTTTGTCCTGTCACATCTCCTACTTTTCTTTCCTACCTCCCTAATCTGTGTTCCCTAAGCAGAGCCTGTGTTATTCCTGTTGCTTCCTCCCTCCTCTGCAGCAGTACATCAGCCTCTAGTTTCAGGCAAAGTGACGAGAATAGACAGCAAATGAGCAAAGCAGGGTGAGACAGAGCATTATTGGATTTTAAACACTATAGGCACTTATTTTTCATGTTTTACATAGCTATACCTGCAAAAGAGGCCAGCAAGAAGTGATCTATTAGGACTTAATTTTCTGACTTAAGTTCCTCTTTAATAAGATAACAGGCTCAGTTAATGGATATCCCATCAGCTGATCAAAGGCTAAAACTACAGGCAGTGCATGCTGGGACTAATAGATCCTTTATTGCTGCAGGCGCAGACCGTGGTCTAGAGGCAACCTATAAAGGCTGTCACTGGAATGGACAGAGTTGAGAAAGGTATCCCATTTACCCACAAGGTCAGGCTTTTTCAAGCACATTATTACTAGAGAAAACAATGTCTTTTTGTCAACCCATACCCCGCTGCAGAACATATGGTAATTGTAAGGGAGATACAGGAGGCTAATAACAAAGACTGCTGCAGGGAATCCTTCTGCGTCTTATCGAAATGGCAGCATTCCGTGAAACGACAGATAATGACTTGATTATGCCTACAAGCGGAAGTTTAATAATCCAAAATAAACACTGAGGATGAACTCCATACACCAATACAGAATGTTAAATAACATGGGAAAAAGGCCAAGACAAGAGATACATATGCTTGTTTAACAGCCAAACCTCAGAAACGGGTACGAATACCAGCGGTATATTTTTATATCCAATCCCAGTGAAGGTCTTCTGTAGATTTTCTATGGCCAAGCTTTGTATAAATCAAACAGATCTAATTAGCCAGCTTCAAAGAAGAATGCCAAGCTGTGTACAAAAGGTGTTTGCAACAGTATTATCCCAAAATAGTGAATATGCGACTTATGGGTAGAATAGATGTTCCATTTTTTAAAAGGTTCAGCACCAGAAAATGTGCCTTTTACTGAAAACACTCAAAGGCAGATAGATACCTTCAAGATTCACAGAACAAACTTATCAAACATTATTTCTGATTATCAAACAATATCAATTAAAGAACAACCTGGCATTCCGAATCTTTTTCCCAGGCACACTGGACTTTAGCTCCCATATCATGACCCGACCATCACTAATGATCAGAGCAACAGTATTCTCATTTGTCGGGCTGCAAGCGATGCTATATGGACGCACTGTCTTGGTTACCCGGATGGCGTCACACTGGCATTTTAGGTCGTAAGTCATTTCTGGCACTGGATCAGCCTCTGTGGAGAAAATAGTACAATTACTTCACTTAGATAGCACATTCCTATGGGAGGTCTGACATAACTTGAAACAGTTTTACTCCGAATCCATGATGAGAATGATGAATACAGCCATTTAAATTACCCACAGGGACTAATTTGTAAAGCTCAAAATGCAGCAGCTTGTACACTTTTTTTTTCTTACGTATTGTAGTTCACACAATATATTTATGCAGCTATTGTCCTAATTTATGATGATAATGTCCTAGAAAGAAAACAATATGTCCACAGATATTAGGTGCATAATTTAACTCCACTTTGCTTTCTGACAATGTGTTTATGCAATATAACCAAGTAGGTATAGCTGAACTAGCAATTCTATTTTATATGACTTTTCACAATTTCCATGAAGACTAGTTGGCTGACTGTGGGATGGCAAAAGCTGAGAATTCCCACCACAACAATTCTGACTGGAGAGACACTGCATTTATTACAATGCATATCTTGCTAAAGGAAAAATAAAATGCTAGTCAAAAGATCCCTTCCCTCTGGAAAATCATTTAACTGAAGTGGTCATAAACTAGGCAGCTTTAGTCTAGGTTCGCACTGAACCGTATGTTGCACTGCATTCCTGTGCAAATCACAGGCAATTCTGTATAGGGAAATTTGAGCCCATTCATTTTGAACCGCTCAAATGGCACCATATCTGCATCAAAAAGGTGCGGGCACATACCTATGCGATCCAGTTCAGGCAATCGCACTGCATTTGTGACCTGCTTTTTGGATGTCCATAACTTTCCATTGACAACTGCAGCAGATCGCAGAACACAGTGTGATTACGATGCGATGCAGGAGACGCACAAGAATCGCTCCATTTCAAGCACCACATCAGTGTGAATGGGGCTGAAGGACACTTTTTTGGCTCACTGTTTTTTTTTTTTCATTTTTCTTTTTTGAGTATAGCCAAGACTTGATATATCCACAGATCATGCGTGGTTAGATCATAAGTGCACCATCAGATACCCCTGACTGTCAATTCTCCAGGATGATTGCTAGACAGGTTTTTAAACCTTGCCCCACTACTATCTGGTTTTCTGGAGAGAAGCAGACTCTGAAAAGAACACACCACTCTCCATAGGTTTCAATGAGTACATTCAACTTTCCCAAGCAAACATGTTGATGTGACAGCCAAAAAAAGCTCTGATGTGGGCACAATCACATGTGCCAGAGTAAGACAAACTACAACTTTTATTAAAACCTTTGATTCTCTTTCTTCTAAAAAGATTTTTAAACAGCAGGCTGTCTTTATACTAGAATGCTAAATGTCAGCCTCATGCATACTGGACAATTCTGCAGCTGCTTCTATAGGTGTCTGACATTTTTGTTTTCCTGCATCTCAATTCCCCTACATGTTAGCCTATGTGTTCATGCACACAGACGTTGTAGCAGCATTTAGTATCAGGGGTTTTTAGTGGGGAAAAAAAAAGAAAGAAAAACCCCCACTGCCAGTGCGTCCCGGAGCAGCAGAGTTTTTGCAGAAAAATATGGTTGTAAGTGCCCCTAAATGTGTTAACACTAGGCCATTTAGTGCTTGAGTTTTAATTCATTTCAATGGCCAGAATAAATTATTATTCTGGTCAATTAAATGAATTAACGCTCAAGCACTTGATGCCTGTAAACATACCTATTATTATATTATTATTATACAGTATTTATAAAGCGCCAATAGTTCACTCAGCGCTGTACATTACAGAGGGGGGACAGAACATGTGACAGAACAATACTAATACAATGCAAAACATGAGGGGATTGAGGGCCCTGCTCTTTTGAGCTTACAATCTAGGAGGGAGGGGATGGTGGCACATGAGGAGATAGCTGTGGGGGATGGAGTGGTAGGAAGAGTGGAGGAGGTCGGCAAGTTAGCAGGGGGTGGGGTAGGCTTCCCTGAAGAGATGGGTTTTCAGGGTGCGCCTAAAGGAGAGGAGAGTAGGTGATAATCTGATGGGTTGGGGCAGGGAGTTCCAGAGGATGGGTGACACCCTGGAGAAGTCCTGGAGGCGGGAATGGGAGGAGGAGACCAGGGAACTAGAGAGAAGGAGGTCTTGTGAGGAGCAGAGTGTGCGTGCTGGGCGGTACTTGGATATTAGGTCAGTGATGTAGTACGGGGCAGTATGGTGGACAGCTTTGTACGTCAATGTTAGGATTTTGAATTTGATCCGTTGGGCAATCGGAAGCCAGTGGAGGGATTGGTAGAGGGGGGTGGCGGAAACGGAGCGGTTGGAAAGGTGAATGAGTCTGGCAGCCGTATTCAGGATCGACTGAAGCGGGGATAGCCAGCGGCGAGGCAGGCCAGTGAGGAGGGAGTTGCAGTAGTCGAGTCGTGATATGATGAGGGAGTGGATGAGCTGTTTAGTGGTTTCTGGAGTTAGGAACGTGCGGATTTTGGCGATGTTGCGGAGGTGAAGTCTGCACGAGTTTGTTAAAGATTGGATACCTAAAAGCCTTATATGCTTTTACAAGCGTCAGGTGTTTTTTTGTCTGCCAAAACGCTACTGCCAGGAAGAAAGATTTCCGGGAGAGTTTGCAAAAACGTCCTGTATGCATGAAGGTGTCAACTGAATGTCATAAACAGGCTCGGCGTGTGTATTCATGCTCTGTACTCTAACGGGAAAAAGAGAAATGCATAGGTTGGTTTAATAGCGGAAAGCACAGGTGTCACCAATGTGACACCTGTCAAACGGAAGATTCTAAAAAGCACAATAAGGTCATATGGCACCACAATGTGCATTGCCTTACAAAATGTTGGCCAAGTAAAATCATTCATGAATGAGTTTTAACAGTATATATAGCCATCTTGCTGAAGCAGCTCTTGTCCTGTAATGTAATGTAACAAAGATGCAGATCTATGTCCTAAAAAAGGGGAAGGTCCAACCACTGTAGTTCTTGCACGGAAGGCAACGAGTTAATAAATACAACCCAAACAACTACTTTTTCATACAGCAGACTGTAGAGGAGTAAACGTCTGGAAGCAGAGTGCACACCACAATTTACAAAGCTACTCAGAGGAATAAGGAGAATACAAATATTCCTCTGCAGGGAAGGCTGCTAATTCAGACTGTGGCTTTCTGGCTCAGCAACTGAGATGGGTCTGCAGGTGTCCCAGCGTCTTCATTAATTCTTCATAGAACTGTTTGTGCTTGGTGTGTCCCATGCTGATGTTTGACACCTCAGCAGCTGTTATACCATATAAAATTGATGCAACTGCCCTTTCTTTTTATGCAGTTTCACAGTCTTAACATTGGTGCATATTGTTGCCATGGTGATAAAACACTGCAAGTATTGGTATTAGGGCAAGTGATTAATCTACATGTCAACTGGCTGATTATGTGTGAGAATGCAATAAAACACCATAGTGAGGGCTAACAGACTAAACTTTTTAACTACTCGTAAGCTTTGTATTTCAGGTCTATCAGATGAAAATAGTTTTTTATCACTTGGCCAAGCAGAAATCATGACACTTAAAGTGGTATTATAACTGAAAAACATAACAATTGGTAAGCTGCAATATATTAGTTTTCTATGTGGTGGCTGCATTTGTTTTCTTTTTTCTCTTTATTTTCCCCAAGTAATCCAGCCAACAACACACTTCCTGTGTTGGGGTGTCTGCACTCCACTGGAGAGGCAACACAAATACATTTGGCAGAGTATAGTGTTAAATGCACTAGCAGATATAGATGTACTTGACTAGCAAATTAAAGCCAAATGCCAGCTAACACTTTAAGCATTTAAAGCAACAGTTTTTATTTTACTTTTGGGATAACGGTTTTCCATAAATGAATACAATCTGACCATTGTAAGAACCCCTATCAGTGTTAAATGGTTTGTCTCACCCCTCTAACTGCCAATTTTTCCAGACAGCTTGGTCTGCTTAACTGCTTCCCAACCGCCCTATAGCAGATATACTGTACTGCTACAGGGCGGCACGGGTGCGCAAAATCATGTATATACAGTATACACATGATTTTGCATTTCCGGGTAGGGGGCACGTGCCCCCTGTCAATCACCGGGTCCCGGACGGCGATTACTCGCCACGCCCAGTGATTGCCAAGCATCTCTAAAGGGGAGGAGAACTGTTTGTAAACAAAACAGTTCTCCTCCCTGTCAGCTCATGCACACTGCTTTGGATGTCTGATGAAGGGGTCCTGTGAGACTCTAAAACGTTGCCTTGCTGTAACTATGTGATCGTTCATTAAAACTTTTTTGGACCCATATTGGTGATCCTCGGTGTGCCGATGACATTCTCCCTTAACAATATCACAAATTCTCCATAAATGTGGCTTGGATGGGAGGGTTGCAGAAAAAAAGCCACGGCTCAAGAAAAGCCACATGTAGTTGTGAAGAACACGGCATCAGACCCCTGACCTTCTCACCAAACTCGTGACCGAAGGACTAGCCAATCTAAAACCGCGATGTCACATGCGTAACAATGCCACGCCCAGCTGCACCCTACACAACGATTTTCCAGCTAATTGGACCACAATCAATGTACCGGCAGCCTGGGAGCGATTGTTACTAGGTCAGGTTAATTACGCAATTAACCCTTCACACTGCCACCACCTCCTTTTTGTACAGAGAAAGGGGAAACTCGGCGATATCAGCTATAACACTATAATGGTTGAGATAATCATCTGTATAGCTAGCACAGTCACCGCAGACAGGTTATACAGAGGGTTAAACAAACACAGTAGCGCTCTTTTAGAGGCAGGAATTCGTAAATTGCATTAAGGAGCTTTAAAAACAGTTCAATAGTTTCAGAAAGACAGATTTATTACTAAAAGGTCAAAAAGGGTGCAATAAAAATATTTACAGAAAAAATATGTAACCAATATATATATATAAATATACAGAGAACAAACAGCACAGCAAAGAGGTAACAGAAAGGAGGTTAAAGGGTTAAAGTACTTACCAATCAGCCTTGGGTTTGCAGATCAAGTTTCAGAGCGAAAGGGCTGTCTCCCAAGTTGGTTCTGATGTTAAACGGGAGAATTCTTCAATTTAACTCTCTTAGGCCTGACAGCCCATTTTGTAGTTCCCTAGCAGGGGGTGTCTCTGAAGTCAAGGACCAATGCCCCGTTTAGGGAGGGAAGGTCTGGGCGTAGACCTAAACTAGAGCCAAAATCTCTTATAGTTCATAGTTTGGCTCATAACTTTCCTTAGGTACAAGTAACACTCCGCCCGGGGGTAGTATAATATGCAGATGCATCTGAGGAATGATTAGATATGAAATATGAAACTATACACTGATTGGTTCAAGAGATCTACTTTTCTGCTTTCCTATGTATTCCAGCCAAGGAGAGTGACATACCACACTGTTGGTCTCCTTGTGGCCAACCTGAAGATATGCCTGGTTTTTATGTAAGTCTCTCATATTCCAAGATATGAGACATAGGAAAAAATGGATATTAAAAGTTATCTGGTTTGTGCTCCTCTGGAATGTTTTTGAACTCCTGGGAAGGCTTGCGTTATCTTTTACGATGAGCTAGATTGCACAGCTTTCTTAGACAGCCAGGCGCTCAGCTAAGAAAGGTGGTATAGCTCTGGGCTCCCTGCTGGACTCTGGCCTGCCTGTGACACTTCCAGCACCCACACCGACCAGATGTCACTGTGGCTCTCAGAGAGGGAGAATGAGGGGAGACATGGAGAATTCTTAACAAAATGGAGGGCCGCGTCCGTCTCTGTGTGTACGCTTGCTACAGTAGTCACCACTGAGCTTTGCCAAAACGCACCTTGAAGATTATGAGGCCACATGGAAAAAGGTGTTATGATTAGATGAGACTAAAATTTAATTATCTGGCCTCAACACTAAATGATATGTCTGGCAGAAATCCAATACATCTCACCATCCAAATAACACCAATCCTACAGTAAAGAATGGAGGTGGTAATATCCTGTTATGGGGGTGTATCTCTTCAGCAGGGACTGGAGCACTTGTCAGGATAGAAGTAAAAATGGATGGGGCAAAATACCATCAAATTCTTGAGGAAAACCTGCTGCCCTCTGCCAGAATCTTGCAACATGACCCAAAGCACACAGCAAAAATTACCACACAGTGGTTGAAGGAGAAAAAGATGAATGTCCTTGCATGGTCCAGTCAGAGCTCAGACTTAAACCCATTTGAAATCTGTGGAATGACTTGAAGACCGCAGTCCACAAACGGTCACCATCAAATTTAACTGAACTTGAGCAGTTCTGAAAAGAAGAGTGGGCAAATATAGCAAAGTCTAGATGTGCAAAGTTAGTAGAGAGATATCCCAACAGACTAAAGTCTGTAATTAAACATAAGGAGGTTCAACAAAATACTGACACAAGGGGTGATCTTTTTTTCAAATCAGTGATTCTGTTTTTGAATTTAAAATTTTTTTTTTCTGACATGTTGGTGTTATATCTTTCACTTCAATATTATAATTTGAGTAAATACAACTGGATAAAACAAAAAAATGTGTGTCTTCATTTCAGGCTGCAAAGCAACAAAATGTGGTTATTTTAAAGGGGTGATTCTTTACAATACCCACTATATATTCACACATTCTTTGGCAGAGCTTTCCTTTAAATTGGACATGTCTGATGGGTTTAAAAAGGAAAGGCTGTCAAGACATTGTAGAGAAAAAAAAACAGTACTGAATCATCCGTACAATACAGGAAAGGATCATGTAAGGTAAATAAAAAATAAAAACTCACAAACTGTAGAAAACATTTCTCACAAGCAAGGAATAATTGAAACAGAAAATGAGGTGACCACCATATGGTCATGTTTGAGCCAACTATCACTCATATGGTCTGGATGGAAGGTCTGCATGCTGCAAATATTACATTACTATGCTCTGGATCAGGGTGTCTCCAAACTTTCTAAACAAAGGGTCAGTTTTCTGTCCTTCAGGCTTTAGGAGGGCCATACTGTGGGCATTGGTAGTAGAACATGTTCCGGCATCAGTGGGAGTAAACAATGACCCATCCTGGTGTCAGTGAGAAGAATTGTGCCTCATTGTTGGTATCATTGGGTGGGAAGAATGATGCCCCATTGTTGGTGTCACTGGGAGGAACTGTGCCCCATTGTTTGGTGTCATTGGGAGAAACAGTGCCCCATTGCTGATGTCACTGGGAGGAATTGTGCCCCATTGTCGGTGTCACTGGGATGACTTGTGCATCATTGGTGAAGACCGAGACTGAAATTTTGGCCCAAGGGCCAGATAGAAACAAGAAAGGGCTGCATCTGGCCCCCTGGGTCAAAAAATGAAGCACCAGCTGAAAGCCATTTGGAAGCATTGACTACTGGGAAATCTTGTAAATAAAGCAATAAGATATAATAGAAATAAGCTGTGTGCAAAAGGTCTGAACATAGCATGAACCATTCCTGGGCAACTAAAGTATGTTTGCCTCATTCTACCATACCAAGACACTTGCCTGCTTCCTCACTTGTTGCTCCTGAACTTCCACAGCTCTGCCTTCCTACCCGGAGTGTAATGCAGCCATTCTCATGGAGGCAATATAGGACATCCCTCTGAAAGCATGGGGTCACCTAGAGAAGCAGGAACAACAGCTGTTATGGAGCATCATAGAATTACAGAACAACCGTGACGCTTTTAATATATATTTTGGACTAAGCTGAAAAAAAAACGTATAAAGTTATTCAAAGCACTTCTAACAGTATCAATTGGTATGAATTATTAAAAGCACATGCTCACCCAAGGAATCCAGGGCTATCCTCTCAAATATTCATTACTATTCAGTTAAGATTTTTCTTTAATGTGGCTGTGGTAAATGTTACAATGGACTTGGACAATGTGTTTTAATATATTGTGTATGATTTCTACAGATGTGAAGACTAGTAAAGTGTATCTCTAGGCAAATATTTTTATTTTTTTTAAGTTTTGTACATAGTGGAGAAAGGTTAGGCTCTCTGTTAAGTTTTTACTGCTGTCTGTTTCCCATTGGAGAGATTTATCCCTATACTTGTAGAAAAACCATGGTCACCAAGAAAGTACATGAGTTAAAATGTTAGAGTTCTCCGAAAAAGCGGTAAAAGGAAATCATCTAATGGGAAATGGTCTAAGAGGAGAATGACCCTCACTTTGGGAGATTTCTTCTAACTTCCTCCTGACTCTCTGAAACAGGAAGTCAACATTTTCCAAATGGTACACTGAAAGCAAAAAAATAACCTGGCAGAGCTTTCAACTCTTTCATTCTCTATCCAACCAAAAAAGGACACAAAAATGTTTTGGCGATAGATATACTTTAAAAGCTAACTTTTGCAGCACATTACACCTGTATTTAGCATGCAACATGGCACAAATGTAACTGAGATCTGTGACTGAATGAACTACAAGTCTCATCTGCAGCACGTTACACCTATATTTAGTAAGCAACATGGCACAAATGTAACAGAGATCTGTGACTGAATGAACTACAAGTCTCATCTGCCAAAACAGCAGATAGGCTTATAGTTCTCAATGGAGCACAGGTGATTACTACACTTGTAGTCCATTGACACTTCCTCCATCTCTCCAACTGAGCGCCCGTACCTCAGTAAAGACAGAGCTGCAGCAAGGGTCTGCAGGTCTTTAAACTGGATCCATAATCCATCACACCTACTAACATCACAAAGAGGAAAAACACTCCTGAGCAAAAAGAACTGTCAGTAAACCAATATAAGATCCCTAGACATTCTATTAACACATAGTAACTAGAAACCTACATGTGCAAGATTTTTTAGAGGATGGATATAGTACTTTTGGATGCACAGATGTCCTACCCGAAGGGCTGCCTTACATAAGCCCTCCCTGTAAATTTAATAATAACCTTCCCTTAAGTAAAACTGACCTCTTGTTTGTTTGCTCATCTCTCATGTACCAGTATCTTCTATGTCAGATTGACCTTCCTTCCACCAAAGATACCAGCACCACAATTTTCAGCTTCAAAAACTTTACAAGGTATTCTAGAAGTTCACAAAAATTACACATACTCAATTATGTGAAATAAATCAATATTCATTTGAGTACCTGAAGGAAAGGAACACCTGTCCTCTCTATAGCGACAACTCCAACAGTCTGATTCACCTCCAGATCTAAGATGAGTATTTCTCTGGGATAAAGCAGCAGCATGTGGTGACGCCTAGATGGTAAGTAGGACAGCTGCAAGCACTCATTCAGTGTCACAGTCTCAGCACTGCAAAAAGAGCAAGCAAAATACAAGGTAGAACAAAGAGAAAACTCATACCAACTTGCAAAGTACACAATTTTAGAACTATTTACAGATAGGAAACATTTTAGAGAAAACCAAAATACAGCTACAGGATATGGCAAAACACAGATTGCTTCTAACTCACTCGGTAGCGGATTTTGTTGATGTAAAAAAAAAAAAATATTAGTGGCAGCTGTTGTGCACTTCACTTTTTGTTTGGGCTTTATTGTCTTCCCCCCGGCCAATGAAGCCAATTTATTGATAAAACATGAGATTTGGATCAAGATTTGTAGTAGTCAAACAATTCATATAAAAATTTCCAAATGCACTGAATGGTAGGATATACTCACCTTGGCTTCTCATTCGTGATGAGTATCTTCACTTTATTAAGGGCTTTCTTTGCACCAGTAGTTGTCACTGGCTTTGCATGAGCAGGACTGGAGTGAGGGCTGGATATATAAACTTTCCTTCCACTGCTGGCGGGGGGCTTGGATGGAGAAAAGTCTGAGACAAACACGATGCCCTCGCTAGTCAGTACTGGGTAAAAAAAAAAAAAAATTATCATTAAAAACTGAACATTCCATGACAATTTTGAAGAATCACAGAATACCATAGTTAAAGGGCTACCCCACTGTCTACAAAGTTACAAGGTATGTGTGTATGTTTCTTTTTATTTTTTTTTTGGGGGGGGGGGGGGAGTAACCTTCCAAAATAGATAACTTTTGCCTCATCATATTTAAATACAGCTATCACACATTTCAGATCATGCAGTGAAAACTATGTTGAGTTCCTTGGTTCACGAGATTGTGAATGGTGGTGTACAAAACACGTTTTGTAGTGTACCTGTACTGTCTGCCCTCATGTTGTAAAGCACTGCTCGTGCAATATAAATCCTTTATAATAATAATAAATCTATGCAGAGGATTACTGGAATATATAAAATCTAAACACATATGGCCTGTCATAGCAGCCACCACTAAACCAAATAACAATGGTAATAAAAACACCAGGGCGTATTTACTAAAAGTGAAGAGTGCAAAATCTGGTGTAGCTCTGCATAAAAAACAATCAGCTTCCAGGTTTTATCGTCAAAGCTTAACAGCTTCCCGTCCGCACTATAGCAGAAATACTGCTACAGGGCGACACGGGTGCACAAAATCACATACAGTATATACACACACACACGTGATTTTTCACTTCTGGGTATAGGGTGCACGTGTGCCCTACCCGTGCCACCATTCTCGGCCGCAGCTGTCAATCACCAGGTCCCGGCCGGTGATTACACGCCGGCGCCCAATGATTGCCAAGGATCTCTGACGGGGAGGAGAACTGTATGTAAACAATACAGTTCTCCTCCCTGTCAGTCCGTGCGCACTGCTCTGGATGGCTGTGATTACAGTGAAGCACAGACACACAGCCCAAAGTAAAACAGCACACAGTTAACCCTTTGATCGCCCCTCATGTTAACCCATTCCTGCCCAGTGCCATTAGTACAGTGTCAGTGCTTTTTTTTTTTTAGCACTGATTACTGTATTTCACTGGGGATGTCAGTGACACCAAGTCAGTTCCCCCCAGTGTCAGAATGGGAAAAAAAAGGACAAAAATTTCATTCAGATTGTAAGCTCCAAGGAGCAGGGCCCTCCTAACCCTCTTGTATTGAACTGTATTGTTGCTGTATTGTCTCCCATTATATTGTAAAGCGCTGAGCAAACTGCTGGCGCTATATAAATCCTGTATAATAATAATATAATAATCTGGGTGCAGCATTGCATGACGCGCGCAATTGTCAGTTAAAGTAACGCAGCGCCATAATGCATAAATGGCCTAGCCAGGAAGGGGGGTAAATCCTCAGGAGGGCAAGTGGTTAACTAAACAAGCTGAAGTTAGAAGTAGATTGACTACCACGCACAGCTGCACCAGATTCTGAGTGCTTCAGTTTTAGTAAATCAACCCAAATGAGTATTCGTTATAGTCAGTATTCAGCCACTGGCACAATCCTTGCTATTCTGTGGATCATGGTAGCCTTTCCAACTCACAGCATTGTAGGAGGACAACGTTTAAAGAACGGTCTGGATAAAAGCGCACAGATGTGTCCCAAAGGAAATAAGTGAATGGTATATGTCAACTATGATTGGTGGGGGAAAAAACTCACTGCTGCCATGGTAAAAACACATCGGTTTGTGGGAGGTATGAACAGGAGCCAGGCGCTGTGTAGTTTTGTGATAGAAATAATACACCTTGTATGGAGGTGTGTCTTTAATAAGTCATATGGTAAAACAATAATAAATAACCAGCCTGTGGCTTTAGGAAGCCAGGTTCCAAGATGGACGGCCCGTCCGCTCAGAGGGAAGCAGTGGAGTAGAATGCCTGTCAGTGCAGGGACCACGTTTACCCGACGTCCCAGCGTCCTGGATGACGTCACCACGATGTGGAGAGACAGAGGGGGGGAACTCTTGCTGGAGCCGCAGCTTTAGAAGGAAGAGGCCGGTTGCTGGGACAACATGTTTCGCGCGCATGCGCTTTGTCAAGACTTGACAAAGCGCATGCGCGCGCGAAACATGTTGTCCCAGCAACCGGCCTCTTCCTTCTAAAGCTGCGGCTCAGCAAGAGTTCCCCCCCTCTGTCTCTCCACATCGTGGTGACGTCATCCAGGACGCTGGGACGTCGGGTAAAACGTGGTCCCTGCACTGACAGGCATTCTACTCCACTGCTTCCCTCTGAGCGGACGGGCCGTCCATCTTGGAACCTGGCTTCCTAAAGCCACAGGCTGGTTATTTATTATTGTTTTACCATATGACTTATTAAAGACACACCTCCATACAAGGTGTATTATTTCTATCAAAAACTACACAGCGCCTGGCTCCTGTTCATACCGGACAACGTTTAAAAGCTATCTCCTGCATGACGCCTGCTAATTTTTTAGCCACTATTCATTTTATAAGCATCCTCAGAATGAGCTCGCTCCAAGGCAAGTTGTCACAAACGTGTCATAACCAGGCAGTGGGGTTGGTTCATAGCAAGGTGGCATTATATCTTCACACAAAAAAGGCAGACCATGTGACTTCCTCTAAAGTCTGTATTCTGCAGTGTTTCTTTTTATTGGGTTTCAAAATAAAACAAAAATAAAAAAAAAAAAAAGGGACCATGTTTATAAAACAAAGAAGAAGACAAAGGGGTAGTTCGGCTTAAATCCTAGAATTGATGATTTCTCCCAGTACTTACAAGCAAGCTGAGAAGGCTGGAAAGGGTTGAAGGAGAAAGAAAGGATATTTTCTGCATAGCTCTTTTTCCAGAGTTTTGTTCCAGTGTCCGCATTCCACAGTACAATGAGATTAGGGGGATGCACCGCCAGCAGCAGATCACGAGAGGCATCCTGGCTCCACAGCCACTGCATGTCTGCAGGATAAACAAGGAACATCACTATATTAGTGAAAGGAGAGATGAAGAAAACACAGGTTTGTTGACAGACCACTTAGGTATGATCTGCATAGATGCGAACCAACAAAAAAATAAAAACAAAAACAGCTAAGCTAAGCCATGGACAGCTTATCACACATGATCTGAAATGTACAAGTGGATCACTCCTTTAAATTTAGTAACTAATGCAATTCTAAGGAAAAAAGCTCTTCTGGCACACTGACTTAGCTGACCGAAAGCAAAACAACCTGATTACAACTAGACTTGATGGAGTAAGAAATAGGAATTTCTTTTGTTCCACTATAACCATTCAGTGATATCTCCTTACCATGGATGGGTTTAGAATGCTCCTGTATTTCACATCGTGTTGTGCCAGATGCAACATCCCACACAATAATTTTTCCACTGGCATCTGCTGATGCCAGTCGCAGGGAGTAAGTTGAGCCTTGGTTGTGGTGATAGTTTTCCCTGGCCCATTTCACCTGGGGAAACAGAAAGAATGGTTCATATAGACTATGGTGCACACAAACCCGTCAGTCATATTAGGCAATTGGCAATAGCAATTACACCTAACCTACAAATATTACAAGCAGCATTAAAAGTGCTATGGTCACGCCAAACACTTTCATTTCATAACATCAGTATTGTAATAGGCATACAAATAATAATTTTTAACAATTCAGTAGAAGCTTACATGAAAAATATCCTTTCATATTGTGCCCTCTGCCTGTCTATAGGCCATCTCTTTACATAACTTCCTGGATTAGCTTGCTTTGCAATTCCTCCTCTACTGTTTACTTTCAATTTCTAAGGACTACATACCCCATGGTACCTTGCTGTCTGCAAGCAGTGATTCCTGTACTCTCTCGGTCTCATGAAATTCTTCCTTTCAGTACTGCTGTAGTACAGAAGGCAGGCTCTCTGAAATATGTGACACAGCGGTGCCTACTCACAGGGCATGTGTCACAGAATTCAAGGAAGTAAACACGTGGGGACCTTTACAAAGTAAGTTTACAAACTCCAATATTATTGATATTTACAAGAGTAATTTAGAAATAATTGAAAATTAATGTGGAAATAAGTAACTTTACCAAAGATAGGCTTTAACCTTTAAAGTGCACCCCAACCCAAGACTATTCGATGCCAAAACTGAAGGGGAAAAATAAAGGCTGATGCAAGAGAAATTTGTTTATTTAGCAGAGAATGTCTTCCTCTCTCTCGAGGAAATCAATGCAAAGCTATGACTTATTTATTTCCCTTATTTAGCTCCAACATATTACACCGAGCTTCACAGGGTGTATACAACCAACCGCATTAATCCCCCCCCCCAAAAAGAAACTTGTAATCTAAAATTGGACCAATTTGTGTAGAAACAGGAGCAGCAGCCAAAAAAAAAAAAATCTAAATTCAAACATGTTTAACTTGTGCACATCTATGAATACGGATTATATTCCTAAAATGTCTCGCCATTGTATGCAGGTATACAGGTACACTTTTTTGCAACTTCATCGCTGGGATAAAAAAAAAAAATGGCACAAGGCTGTACAAAATGCTGTGGTTTCTTCTGCTGGCTCCTACAGCAGCAACAGGATACAGTAGTGATGTAAGTCAGCAGAAGAGACCACTGTGTGTGACAAGGGACTAAGGCATTCAATGTTCCTGGCTCCTCCCCCTGGTGAGGGGGAGGAGCCAGGAACATTGAATGCCTTTCTATGGGGCACACATGCGTGCCGTCATAATGCGGGGGGTCAGCCCTGCCCTCATTCCCTCCTCACTGGTTGTGACTGACAGCAGCTGAAGCCAATGGCTCCTGCTGCCGTTTCTGAGCCAATGAGCAGGGAGGAAAAGAAAAAAAAAGACCAAAACAAAACAAAACAAAAAAAAAACAAAAACACCTTTACAACCACTTTAAGGCTAAATTATGTTGACTATGTTATCTGTATTTGTGAATACACCCCAATCCTTGTAGGAGTATTTACATATATCCATCTGGGTCTGAGACTTCCTACACAAAAGAGGTAGTTCCATCTGCAATATACATTTATTGATAGAGGTACATAATATATACAAAATACACGCTAAGCAGTATTTACAACACAATGTACAGTTTAAGTCTCTTGACTTGTATGATATTTACAATTTACCCACAAAACCATGTTTAAAATACAATGTACAATACAAGTATGTAGTTAGTTTACCTTTACCTTTCAACTTCAGGTTTAGGCATCCTGCCTGCTGTGTGTGTCTCATCACAAAGAGACCTCCAGCTGGGTGACCAGGCCTTATATCCCCCCTCCTTTCTGTAAGGTGGCTAATATAATGCTCACTAATTGGACACTGTACCTAGCCAATGTATATTGGGCACAGCCTGTATGGAAGTTCAAAGAAGGCTGCTGTTTACCACTCCTGAGATGTGCTAAGGGGACAACAAAAGGCCAGAACTTGTATAGTGGAAATCAATCTCTCTATCTATATATATTTATTTACACCAGTATAGAAGCCAGAATAATTTTCATCCTGCTAAACACTCAATGGTTTAAATACTGTATATTTCCATCTAAGTAAAATATACTTGTAATTATTACATTATTTACATTCATTAATGGAGATTTCACATAAACTCATCTAACAATTAATATTTACATTTTCCTCTTAAAATGCAGCCAGGGCATGAATTCCATCTCTGTGGAAGCAGCCCATAATTCCCCTAGTCTCATTGTGGCTGGCCACAGGCAATGACATCGAACACATGGAGAGCTTCAAGATCTGCTTATAACATAGAGGAGGGGACATGGGTTCTATGGCCTATGTTCTCTTGCTTATCCGCATATCAAGACCAGTTACATCCTTTGCACCTGGATTAGTCATTTAGCTCCTCCGGAGACGGATCAAGATGGTTTAACGGTTAGTATCTCAAAGGAACGCCTTAGACCTCCTGCTATCCCCCCGGGCTCTACCCCTCATTTCCCCGTTCCTCTCATTATCTTTCTAGTCCTTTCCTCTTTTGAGGACTGGGACTCCCCCCTCCATACTTTTTTTTTTTATATTCTGTTCTTATTCTCTTTCCTCCTTTCTGCTCGTGGATTCTCTCTTCTTCTATTCTTACCCCATTTTACAAAATCAGGCACGACCTGGAAACTAACCTATAGCGGATAGCAGTCCGCATAGTTTTGTGTACCATTGTACTGAGAATCTTATTCATGGTTATTACGTAATCATCCAAACTATACTTTTGAGGCCACAAAGGGGGTTGGGTGGGGTTTACTGGCCTTTATGAAAACATTATATTCATTTGTTATGTTTGTTTGGCCTCTTAGCCTCTGTTTGATCTGCAACTGCCAGAGTGCCAGGTAAGGATGCCACCAGCAGCATCGCCTTCCTCCAACACAGTGAGAGCAACTGATGTTGTTCCTCCCACTGTGTGACATCAGAAACTGGAAGCGACAAGGATTTTGTCACTTCCAGTTGCGGTTTCTTTTATTCCAAGCCATTGTTGGCTTGAGTAGCAGCAGATCTGGGGGTCTCAAAGACTTCTGATCTCTCCATAAAGAGGACTTGTCATGGCCTATGCTATCACAAGATGTTTTTCATCCCTCCTCCCCTGTGATAGCAAGAAAAGTGATATTAAAAAAAAAAAAAAAAATCAACAGGGCGCTCATGAGCAGCCATCCAAGATTGTCGCTCAGTAATGTCACTCCTCATCCACCTGACACAGTTGGCTGTTTTTTAAGCAACCTGTGGAGCTTTGTTCCTGCACCCTAACCACCCTTCTCTTCCCCACCCTCTACCGCACCAATGGGAAGAAAAAAAAACAAAACAAAAACTACCTTGGCACACGCCTCTGGGGTTAAGCCAGCTGACCTGGTAGGCGGGGCCTCTCTACCTGCAGACTCACAGAAAGCCTGGAGCTCGAGTCTGGAGCTCCTACTGTCCATGCTGACGGGTGAGTCCGACCTTCTCTCTGTTGCTAAAAGTATTGCGGAAGCATCGCTGCTGCCACAGCCCTCTGCACTGAGAGATGCCGAACTCTTTGGATGGTTTAGGACTATGCTGCAGACTGAGCTATCGGCCGCTACTACTAAACTTGCAGCCCATCTCACCAAGGAGATAAGGGAGCTGGAGAACCACACGTATGACCTAGAGGACAAGATGGACGATGCTATCATGATCATTGAAAATCATGAGAAGGACTAGTCTGATCTTAAAAAGGTATTGGCGATGGCCCTGTTGCGGCCCGAGGACTATGCAAGCCGTTCTCACCTCAGGTACCTACGTTTGCAGGGCATTCCTGAAACTGTCACTGATCTCCCCTGCACCCTGACGGCCGGTTTCAAGAGCTGTTTATCCTCTATACCTATTGACTGCCTTGAATTTGACCGTATCTGTTGAGCCTTGGGACTAAGGAGACAGGATGATCTGCCCAGGGACATTATCATTAAATTCACTTACTACTGCACAAAGGAGACCCTCTTGATGGTGGCACGAAACAAAATCGGAGCTGTGCTTCCAGGGGCATGGTTACCAGCTACTCTTAGAACTTTCACAGGTCACTCTCCAGAAACAGCGCCAAGTGAAGCCATTTACCATGGTCCTCCTAAACCGACCATATTAAATATACCTTGGGCTTCCCCTTTCAGCTGTCATTCGACTATCAAGGTAAGAGCCACTCCGTCAGCACCCCCAAGGAGACACAGTTGACGCTTGAAGGATGGGTCATCACAACCTTCAGGCTCCCAGTGGGCCTCTTTTCAATTCAGCTGCCTTTGGGAGAAGTCTTCCGGCCGCAAGATATCTCGCCCTCGCACTAAATCACAATTCAGCCTTCTAAGATCACCCCCAGCTGTGTATCGGCAGACATGTCTTCTTGAGCCACTGCCTCTGGAATTTGTTCTCCTAAATCTTAAAGTCACATCCATGAGTTTTGGCTGCTAGGCCATTTCTGATGTTAACTTGCTGACAATGTTTTTTTTGTTATACAGACAACTTTCAAGAATTGTACTGATCTGATCTGTATGAGGCCCTGATTTCCCTTTCAGGTGATGGGTTTTACCTTTGCCCTGTCAACTCTTGACTCAACGCTATGCCTTTACTCAGCACTGCTCGTTGGCACTACAGCTCAAACCCTCCTAGGGTTAGTCCTATACTAATATGTTGTGCTTATGGCTCAGGGGCTTCCCGCTCCTTAATGATGAAATTGGACCCCTCCAACTGCCTGGAACTCCCAAGTACTATCTAGTTTTGCACTTGTTAATTTCTACTCAGGGTCCACCTCCCCCCTTGGCCATGCCCAAGCCTTATTTTTATGCCTTACACCGTCAGGCCTTATTGCCTGCTATAAACCATAGGATAAGCTAATGGCCTTATATGTGGCGCTCCTTACATTTTGAATTGTTTAATTTTATATTATTTGTATTTTTTCATGGTTGCAAAGGTCTTCCCGCTCCCTTTTCCCCCTCTCCTCCTACTCCTTCCCTCCACAACT